TAGGGACAAAATAAATTGATTTTTTCAACAAAAAAATAATTGTATTTTGAAGTTGGAAGAGAGTTTTGGAAAATGTTTTCCTTAAGTTTAGAAGGGAAGTCATTTTCCTTAAATTTGAGGAAAATGAGTTGATTTGGAAAACATTTTCCAAAACATTTAACCCAACCAAACATGAGAAAATTGGAAAACACTTCATACCAAACACACCTTAAATCACATATCCAAACACCTACTTAATATGGACTAGAGGGAGTATGTCATAAGAACATATTGTTGCTTATAGGTTTACCTGAAGTAACCTTTTCCTAAATTCTTGCTCCGCTTTTTGTACATTTCTGTTTCATATTAGTTGTCTACTTATCTTACAAGCTCATACAAAAGCTGGAAGAGGTGGTAGCCTATCACTCAAACTTAATATGAGTATGGATTTAATGAGCCCGTTGTTTTCTTTTGTTTCCTTTTGACAGTTCGAAAAGATGAAACAAAAAGCATGGGCTCTGGATGGGAGCGTTTTGACTTTGACAAGGATGCCCCTTTGGATGACAACGAGATTGAAGGTTAGCTATTTGGTTGCTATTGCTTACATATGAACATTGTCAAATTGAATCCTTTTCCTTATCACTTGTAGTAGGATTCTTATTGTTGCTGCAATCAGGCAGTGCTAGAGTGTGTTTGGATGGGCATAAAAACAAGGTAAAAATAGATTTTAAGCACTTTTAGCTTATTAATATCATAATATGGTAATAGGGTGAACCATATAACTAAAATCAGATTCCAGGTGTCTTGCACTGTGCTAGTTAAAAGGATGGACTTCAATATTCTTCCTTTATTTCCGACTTGTATAGCTATACCGACTTGTATAGCTATTTGTAGCCTGCTAGAAATCCTCAACGTAATGGTGATTTCATCGGATGCAGAATTCCAATACACTAATGGTCAATGTGCATATAAGATGCAAACTAAAACAACATTTAGGTTACGTAGCTTGTGTATGAAGGATTTGTTCATTTCATGAAATATTCATATCCCAAGGAAGCATCTTAATTTGGATGAGGTTTTCACTACAAATAAAACAAATGTACTCTGGTTTGTTATAGCAAAGCTGGTTTATTACATGTATTACATATGAGTGATGTTTGCATGAAACTAAGGTGACTTTCTTACTGGGGCATAATGATATTTTTATTTGTTTCTCATGGGGCACAATGTCGGAGCCAAGATCTCGGTGAAGGGGGTTCAAAGTATAAATTAAGAAGCAAATATGTGAAAATTATAAGATGAAAAATGGAACGAGACAAGGAAGGGATGCCTTGTCATGTCGTGTTTAGCTTCTTCCTACTTTTATCCTGCCTCATTGAGCCTTTTAGAATTCTTGTGTTCTTTATTTTCTTTTATTTTGCAGTATTTTACTTTAGTTTGAACTTTCTTTAAATTTTGAATTAGTGTCCATTCAATCATATGTTACTTTGAAAATCACTAATCTTATTTACAAGGTGCAAGGATTGAGTTACTAATATTATATATAACTCAAATAACTTTAGCTTGGTTTCCATCTCTTTAGAATAGAATTGGAAAAAATAAGAAACAAATACTATGAAATTAAAGAAAGAAATTCAATTGAATAGATATTGTTAAAAAGGATATTCACGACTTTCAAATTTCTTCATTTGATTAAATTAAATTTACCTTATTTTATATAAATTTTTGTCTAACTACTCAATTGCAAGTTTAATAGCAATTCATTGTTTTTTAAATAGTTTCTTCCGGTTAGTACATGGAATGAGAGTTATGAAGAAACGAAGTGAGCAATAGAAATAAGAAGAATAAAAGACAAATACAAAGAATGTGCCTACTATATTTAAACAAAGCCTAATTGAGAAGAAGAAATAACATAGAAGAGAAAAAAAAAGAATATAGCTTCACATTGAGCCCAAAAGCAATGAGAAAATAATGAAAGAAAAAAAATAAGAGTTTCAGATTGCGCCCAAAAACAATGAGGGCTTTTTCATTGGGTTGGTATTCTGAGCTCAAAAGTTGAGCCCATCGCTTAGCCTATGGGACTTTCCAAAGCAAAAAAAAGGGGGGAAATAGTGAACTTAGTGGGACTCGAACTAGAGCGTTAAAGACAAAATTTGAACTCCCTGAGCTCCACATAGCTCCCTCCCTGATGGGGCACCTCCGTTCTTGCTTATATCAATGTTTTTGTAGACAGAAAAGTTCCTTTATTTGCCGACACTGATACACTGTTGATTGCTTTAGCTGTAGAAGATGATGGTGCTTTAGTCAACCACATTGGTAAAAGCTTTCGGTTTTCTACGGTGGAGGTACACCTCTTTTTCTTTGTATCATTTCCTTCTCATAACTGCATTGTTGCAAATGGGCTCTGATCATGCCAAAGAACGTGAACAGATGTTTGTGCTGTTAATTTTTTTGGTTGATTTGAAGACTAGGAGGGAGGAACAAATTAAGGCTGCTCATGATGAGGCTATTTTTGGAGCTCCCTCACATCTGCCACGTTCTCCTTCCACAGAAACAGATGATGAAGCAGAAGATGGTAATGGCAAAAAGGACATATCTGAAATTGCCCCTGCTACAAGTCTCATCAGTGGGAAGGTGATATCTTAAATCTTGTCATAGTAGATTTTTGCTAATTATTAGAGTACCATGGTTAGTCTTCACCCTTTTATCTTCATTTTTTCGTTCCACTCTGCCTAATCATTCTTGTATTATATGAATTTAGGCAGTGGCAATGCAACAAGGTTCTTGGCGTGATCGCTTGCGTAAATCATGACTTGTGTGAATTCTTGGAAATTGAGGGTTTTTTGTATTTGTGCTAGTCTTGTGTGGGTTGTAACCCGCTGCCTTTTGGAGTAGTGCAAGGTCCTTGTTTTGTACTGGGGAAATTGTGAAGAAGGGTGGGTATTTATGGAGTTGGGCTTTCAGCTTTAAAAATCTGTGTCATATTCTAATTTTCTTATGGAGAAGTAGCATGGAACAGTGCAAATATTTTTCTGTAAATATTCTCTTTGGTACTCTTAAACTTTGAATGCAGCAGCCCTTGTATAGTTTGTATGTGGACGTTAAGTATAGTGCTTTCGCTAAGATTCATCACCTGTAAATCAAATTCGGTTATAAAATATAGGCCATATGATAGTCATAGAATTCTTCATTGAGAATCATATTTTCAAACTAAGCTTCAGCCATACTGGATGAGTAGTGGATTGCACTCAATATTCTATGGGAGATTTACAAATAGAGGGTGCGCATGATATGGTATATACCGAAATGCCATATTGTATTGAAAAAAATTTAATATCGTGGTTTTAGTATTATAATATTTGGTTGGTATATGGTATACATTTTATTTTTATTTGGTATTTAAAAATAGCATATCGAAATATCAAATGTCATACCAAAGTATATAGTTACATGAATAATACATATATTATTAAAAAAATACCAACAAATATGTAACTTAGTATTAGTATAAACTAAATGTGTAGAAGTTGAAACTTTAACTACTCTATTTTGATTGAAATGTATTTGAAATATAATTGATTAACAAAGGAGTAGTTTGTACTTTATTTTGAATATATATTTCTACATGTGTAATGTGTTTGTATGATACAATTGAGACATTTTTTGTTGTTGTTGAAGTCATAATACTCTATTATATGAAAATACATTAGTCGAAGTTGAACAAACTATGGTTATCGATTTACTATACCGTAGAATATCGAAATCGAACTTTAAAATACCGAACCATACCGAATTAAATTGTAATGGTAATGATATAATGTTTTAAAAATTGAATACCAAAATTACACTATCAATACTTTCAATTACCGTACTATACCATGCCCACCCCTATTTTATTTTTTTTACGGATATATACGACAACAATCCATATCTACAAAATTTTAATTTATAGCACTATTTTACTTTTTTTTTTTAAAAAGCATAAAATGTTTATTTCATATATAAAACCTCCAAAGAACTCAAAAGTCACAAGATTAAGAATTTTTTAGATCTCTCTTTCGAACATTGTGAACATGTTTGGCATTGGAAGGAGCTACTGAGCTAAAGATCATTTAAACGATCTCCAATTCACCTCTATTTTATTTTCTATACTCTATATTTAGAGAGTAAAATATAGAATTTCACTCTCTATCCTTCTTGTATAGAGAGGTGGAGAACTATTATTCACACTCCCGTTTCACTTTTTTATTTCTTATTATTTTTATTAGGGATAAGGATCTGAAAAATATCCCAACTTTGGTCGAATTTGCTGTTGCGATACTAAACTTTCATGAGGACCTATTACCTCCCTAGACTATTTAATACCATATTTTTTACTCCCTGAACTATTTAATAGTGTATTTTAAAGGTATATATGTGCCCACGTGGACATATTACTATTTATAATTTTGTATTATTTTTTATGTCCACGTGGGCAAATATATATGTTTAAAATACGGTATTAAATAGTCTAGGGAGGTAATAGGTCCTCATGAAAGTTTAGTATCGCAACAGCAAATCCGACCAAAGTTGAGGTATTTTTCA